CAACTCTCATATGTCTTAACATCATTCCGTGTTAAAAGATTGTGTATGATACCACAACTCCCATAGATCTTAACATCATTCCGTGTTTTAAGATTGTATATGATACTACAATTCACAAGGATCTTAACATCTTTCCATGTTATAAGATTGTGTATGATCCTACAACTCCCATAGATCTTACCATCATTCCGTGTTATAAGATTGTGATACTACAATTCTCAAGGATCTTAACATCTTTAACTGTCATAAGATTGTGCATGATACTACAACTCCCATGTATATCTTAACATCATTCCGTGTTTTAAGATTGTATATGATACTACATCTCTCATAGATCTTAACATCATTTCGTGTCATAAGATTTATATGATACTACAACTCCCATAGATCTTAACATTATTCCGTGTTATAAGATTGTATAAGATACTACAACTCTCATAGATCTTAGCATCATTCAGTGTTATAAGATTGTATATGATTCTACAACGCTCATATATCTTAACATCATTCCTTGTTATAAGATTGTATATGATTCTACAACTCTCATAGATCTTAATATCATTCCGTGTTATAAGATTGTGTTTGATACTACAACTCCCATGTATATCTTAACATCATTCCGTGTTTTAAGATTGTATATGATACTACAATTCTCAAGGATCCTAACATCTTTCCATGTCATAAGGTTGTGTATGATACTACAACTCTCATATGTCTTAACATCATTCCGTGTTATCAGATTGTATATGATACTACAATTCTCAAGGATCTTAATATCTTTCCATGTCATAAGATTGGGTATGATACTACAACTCCCATAGACCTTAACATCATTCCGTGTTATAAGATGGTATATGATACTACAACTCTCATAGATCTTAGCATCATTCAGTGTTATAAGATTGTATATGATTCTACAACTCTCATAGATCTTAGCATCATTCAGTGTTATAAGATTGTATATGACACTACAACTCTCATATATCTTAACAACATTCCGTGTTATAAGATTGTGATACTACAATTCTCAAGGATCTTACCATCTTTCCATGTCATAAGATTGTGTGTGATACTACAACTCCCATGTATATCTTAACATCATTCCGTGTTATCAGATTGTATATGATACTACAACTCTTATATATTTTAACATCATTCCGTGTTATACGATTGATTGTGTATGATACCACAACTCTCATAGATCTTAACATCATTTCGTGTTATAAGATTTATATGATACTACAACTCCCATGTAGATCTTAACATCATTCCGTGTTATAAGATTGTATATGATACTACAACTCTCATATATCTTAACATCATTAAGTGTTATAAGATTGTATATGATACTACAACTCCCTTAGATCTTAACATCATTCCGTGTTATAAGATTGTATATGATACTTCAACTCTCATATATCTTAACATCATTCCGTGTAATAAGATTGTATATGATACTACAACTCCCATAGATCTTAACACCATTCCGTGTTATAAGATTGTATATGATACTTCAACTCTCATATATCTTAACATCATTCCGTGTAATAAGATTGTATATGATACTACAACTCCCAAAGATCTTAACATCATTCCGTGTTATAAGATTGTGTATGATACTACAACTCATATAGATCTTAACATCATTCCTTGTTATAAGATTGTATATGATACTACAACTCTCATATATCTTAACATAATTCCGTGTTATAAGATTGTATATGATACTACAACTCCCACCAAATATCTTAACATCATTCCGTGTTATAAGATTGTGTATGATACTACAACTCTCATATATCTTAACATAATTCCGTGTTATAAGATTGTATATGATACTACAACTCTCATATATCTTAACATCATTAAGTGTTATAAGATTGTATATGATACTACAACTCCCACCAAATATCTTAACATCATTCCGTGTTATAAGATTATGTATGATACTACAACTCTCATATATCTTAACATAATTCCATGTTATAAGATTGTGTATGATACTACAAATCTCATAGATCTAAACATCATTCCGTGTTATAAGATTGTATATGATACCACAGCTCTCATAGATCTTAACATCATTTCGTGTTATAAGATTTATATGATACTACAACTCTCATATATCTTAACATCATTCAGTGTTATAAGATTGTATATGATACTACAACTCCTATAGATCTTAACATCATTCCTTGTTATAAGATTGTATATGATACTACAACTCCCACCAAATATCTTAACATCATTCCGTGTTATAAGATTATGTATGATACTACAACTCTCATATATCTTAACATCATTCCGTGTAATAAGATTGTATATGATACTACAACTCCCATATATCTTAACATCATTCCGTGTTATAAGATTATGTATGATACTACAACTCTCATATATCTTAACATCATTCCGTGTTATACGATTGATTGTGTATGATACCACAACTCTCATAGATCTTAACATCATTCCATGTTATAAGATTTATATGATACTACAACTCTCATATATCTTAACATAATTCCATGTTATAAGATTGTGTATGATACTACAACTCTCATAGATCTTAACATCATTCAGTGTTATAAGATTGTGTATGATACTACAACTCATATAGATCTTAACATCATTCCTTGTTATAAGATTGTATATGATACTACAACTCTCATATATCTTAACATCATTCCATGTTATAAGATTGTGTATGATACTACAACTCTCATAGATCTAAACATCATTCCGTGTTATAAGATTGTATATGATACTACAACTCTCATAGATCTTAACATCATTCCGTGTTATACGATTGATTGTGTATGATACCACAACTCCCATAGATCTTAACATCATTCCGTGTTATAAGATTGTATATGATACCACAACTCTCATAGATCTTAACATCATTCCGTATTATAAGATTGGTAACAATGATTATTGCTATTTCCTTTTTATTTACGACAGTGTTTTCAATAAAAGCTTTTCGCTCATAATACTTAAGACCAATTTTAATTATTATTTATTACCATTTGATGCTATTTGAAATGTTTCAGTTTCTCGACGCTGAAGATAACAAATACGTTTTCATATACATTTCTATCGCATAGAATAACATCGCTCTATCTGACATTGTTGGCATATCCTAATGCATGGCCTAATTTACACAGTGCAGGTGTGTCTTGCAGCTTTATTGAGTGTACATTAATGAAATTGACCTGATTAGAGGGATATCTAGCATACCTATCCCCGAAATGAAATGTGAAATAACATAATAAATATACATTTTTTTTTATTTATTTCTGCTGAAGCATACCACAGAACATCGCAGAGGAATGCTTACACAATGACCCACCGCTGAGGAATGAGACGTTATTTAGTATTCGCTCCTGTTTTATATCAAATAAAGGATGGATCTGTTTATACTCACAGGGAAACCATATTTCGACTCTATGATTCATATTAACTTATCTAAATTGTTTCCTGTTGTTCTTAAAATGAATTGGAAATAAATCCATTCTGCCCCAAAACGACAAGTTATCTGATTCAGCGCAACAATGATTGAGTGACGTCAATCTTTAGAATTGTTCATTACACATCTACCGTTAAGTTAGATACATTTTCAACCTCAGCGAGGCTCATTATCTATAAACCTTATAAAGCACGTGAGCAACATGTTTTGATTGTGACGTCATACCTGTATCACCATATTCCGTTTTCCTTGAAAAAGACGCTTTTTCATTTCATTGATTTTTTTTTTATCAATAATGCGATTTATGGAGTTATTGACAAGGATGATGGTGTACAATGGAAAAATTAAAAACATGAAAAATAATTACTACTGACATGAATGTTAGACAGCGCTGTATTTTGTGGTATGCGTGACAGGCAGAGTACTGAGAGAAAATGAGTGAGGTAAAATAGCACACCATCAATACATATATAGAACAAATCCGAACGGGAAGTCGATACAGACTACAACAACAATCGAGGCGACACCAAACAAGGGGTGCATAATAAAATCTAAAGCCATGAATAGAATACTAACTAATAATAGTTTTTAAAATGACATTTGAGAATGATATTTGTTTTTCAATTTATCACATACCATGTTTTTATAACATATGAAAATAATGGGACGAGAGAAGATTTTAGAAGAGAACTGCCATTTTAAAAGTGATATAATCTAAGAAATGATTGCAAATATATATCCTGCTGCATTAAAACTCCAGTTTCACTGACATTGAAAAGGAATCCGCGTGCTGGGGAACTTAATTTTTAACCCGGGAATCATGCTATTTCGCACATGAATACATATACATTGAAAAGTTTTGTTGTTTGATAAGTAATTGTTTGGCGATTCTGTGGGATATAAATATCATTACCTCATGTACGTGCACTTTCTCATGATATGTACACGTGTACAGAGTGCCCTTTACACTGCATTACCTGTGGTTGTGTAGCCCCTACTTTTACCTTAAGTAGCATCTGTTACAGTAAACTAAGGTCGGGCAAGTTTAATATTTGCGTATGCGCCATTTACAAATACGGCAACAGCGACCGTTCTCAAGGTTACGGAATATATCGAAAACCGTTACCTGTTTAAACTTTTTGTCGTTGCGACTCTCATAAAATTCATCCTAAATAAACAACATATGCTGAACTATGCACGGGTCAAACAAGATTCTAATTAATAAAGCCGCCAACATATTTCATGCGTAGATGTAAAAACATTCCCTAGTGATTTTATTTTTTTTAATTTACGGCAATTATTAAGAGAGTTTGGAAGTAGTCTATATTTACAAATATCATGGGCTCTAACTTCCTTCTGTAAACGTTAACACGTACCTTCCATGGTGCAATTCTAAAGCTGACATGTCAAAAGGGATTATAGGTATCGAACGTAGCTCAAGTGTGTTACAACTGTTATATATACTATATACCTAAAACCCACTAATACATACAACATATTGTACGGACATTACCTAGAAATAAAGCCTACTTACCAGGGCTACTTTGGTGTGAAGAGTGTCGCTGAATACTTGTTTTTCGTCGGCATAATTTTTCAGTTTTACGTATTTTTTGGGACTGACCGTCGCCATGGATGAACGCCTCCTCTGAGAAGACGGACTGTATAAGTTGATATTACTGAAACTGTCCCTCCTCTGCTTTGCTCTGTCCTCGGGATGGTCTCCATTTGTTATCAAGGTAGACCTGTTATCCACCATGCCATTAAGAAGCAATTTGTTATTTTCAATCACGCCATTTTCTTTACCTGTAGACATGTTTCCCTTGTTGTTTTTACTCAAATCCCCGTTCTCCTTAACCACCACGGTAATTTTCTCTGTGTTTTGATGAATTTCAATCTTTTTATTGTCGTGCTGATCGATATTGCCACCAGGTGCCACCACCGTCGTTGGTCGGTCCGTGTTCGATAATCTCCCGCGTAATTTGACGTCTGCGTCGGTCACGTCCGAGTCAATTTGACTCGCAGGGCGAGTAACCACGATTTTAGGAGAATTATCACAATGATTCATATTCGAATTATTCTTGCTCATGATTGTTGGCGAGTTTGATTTTGTTTGCGATTCAGCGTCCTTCACTTGGTACTTCTGATTCTTGTGGGACGTACCATTGCAATTTGGAACAATTGGAAAATTTTGGTCAATATCACAAATGCAGCACTGGTTATCCACGAAACATCCTTCCGTGCGTTTATCTTCTAATCGTCTGCCCCGATTCCGGCACGGGCTGAGGCTTCGCCCTTCATTCCTGCTCGGCGAAGCAGACGATGCTCTAGAGAAGGTCCGCCGGATCCTGCTTACAATAGAGTCATTGTTGACAACCTTTCGAGTAACTCGGATTGTCCTGGGCACACCGTTCTCGCGGAAGGTAGTTTCAAGGTGGGTAGAATAGCCGTCGGGGCCACGAAGTATTAACGCTACGGGGGCGTCAACTGGAAGAGCCTTTAATAACTCAACAGCGTCATCATAACTCTTTTCCGATATGTCGATTTCATTAACTCGTAAAACAGTATCACCTATGTGAACCAATCCGCTCTGTTCAGCTAACCCCCCAGCTACTAAGGCCGACACTGCCACATACGGTTTCTGTGTGCGGGGCTTAATCAAAAACCCCAGACCATCCTCGTGACGTTTGAAAAGTTTAACTCGAATCCGGTTGGGTAATTCGGTTTCCATTGTTGGTGCTGTGTTCACGAACGATTTAATGTGTTATCCTTTTACCTGCTATCACGGCTAATCACTATCTACTGTACGACTGGCTGACTCCAGTCAAGCCGGCCATTACTCCCTCTGTAACAGAAAAAAAGGGACAACATTTAAAGTACGAACCAATATACACATTCCACAGGCATCTTTAATAAGAAAACGTCAATACATTAATACAGGTTTATACTAATATCATGCAGGTTTAATATTACAACAAATTACAGTATATACAGATATATTTATTAACATTTATAAATTATTCAGAAATGAATAAAAAGTTTAAGTCAATGTTATCAACAGAGGCATGGTCACCACACAGCATTGCGTATCTCAATCAGATTACTATTTTACAGATTTAGAAATGTCTTTCATCTTTGAATTAATTTTACACGTAGAATTTGGAAAATACAATACTTCCGGCAAGAGAGATATTCTATTACGCTGCAATGTTAACGGTTTAGGTATGGTAAGAACATGTAATACACGTGTAAATCGTTATAAAATACAACAATCGGCTGTAACGTGTTGTTTCCGTGTAACGACCCTTTTGACGTTAGACAACAAGGTGGTCAACGACTTTCTTTATGCGGGCGATTAAACCATTATTTCCTTGCGATCATCCCAAACCTACTTGCATCAATGTTGTCCTGAGTTGTCTCTAAGATTGTTCTTAGTACGTATTGGTGGTAAAGTCCGGTGTCCTATTCTGTATCTCCACTAACTTGACAGGTCAAGGTGATTGCAACATGGTATTCAATGGTCTTTATAAGTAGAAAAAATATCCCAAAAACCGGTCCATGGTGAAGTATAGAGATCAAAACTACACGTTTTCCTGCTTATATTGCACATGTCACTGTCTTAACAAAAAGTAAAAGAAAAATAGGTAGACCTGGCCGTTTATTGTGGTCAAGCTCTCCTCCAAGTGAAAGCTTCACCTATATGAACTATCACAAATGTCCCGCCTTGGCTTTTAAAGGCCCCATTCGTGACGTAGGAGAACAATTCTAAACCCTGGTATTTAGCTTCTCTTTGGCCTTACAGCAAATGTGATTATGGCCAGTTATGTCGATGTCGAAGACTGAGGAACTTGTCATATATACCATTTCACCAATACAGCTAGGTGGCACTTCACACCCTTAACTCAATAATACTTATTTGTTACTACATACGTGTTGTAACCCCAACCGTTATTTATCTACACCAATTTGTTCTGGCCATTCTAAAACGAATGCCGTCAAAACAGTTCGACTCTCTCCCGAGGCCCGAAATAGATGCCCTCTATAGGGCAGGAAGAGAAATCCCAAAGCCCAAGACGAGATGAAAACAACAATGTCATATAAAGTTTCGAAATAAACCGAACTATCTAGATCTGTATATATGTGATATGTACGTAAGTCATTGACCTCTCTAGCACCATGCACGGTGATAAGGACGCTATGGATCAGCCGTTCGGTATTACGGAAATTACCGACTTTCTGGATAGTTTTACGGAAGTCACCAACTTTCTGCAGTTACCGACTCACTGATAGTTTTACCAAAATTACCGACTCACTGTATAGTTTTACGGAAGTCACCGATCTCCATGTATGATTTTAGATTGACGGAAGTCTCCGGTCGCTCTTTACGATACACGGAAGTTGCCAATCTCTATCTATGGTACCGGAAGGCGTCGATCTCATGTACGGTGACACGGTAGATGCGATTGATCTGTATAGGACACTTAGTCACGTGTTCCGAGTACACGACTAATTATAATAACATATATCTGTTAGTTTTAGCTGATCGGCAAGAAAACTGACGGAGAAGGTTACATAATATAAGGATGACTGACGTGATTGTGCTCTTTTTTTAATAGTGATTATTGAACCCTTGTTCTGTAGCGTGTTAACAGTCTTTAACAGGTTGCTGTCACATTAGCGCATTACACATCCATCAAATTCTCAAACTCTTATCCCGGATCAAGAAACACATATTTAAAATTTAACCTTACGCCAGCTATTGACTCGTTGCTTTTAGAATAAACCATTAGTTAGAAATCGTAAATTGAATATAACTTAACACTAGTCAAATAATCGATGAACATTCATGCTTTTTTCTATCTTAATGCCCATGATTTGTTCTAAGAAAAAAAATCCAATCATGATCATGAATGTAAGATTCACTGCCTTGGCTATTGGATGGATAGGAAAGTGACGGAGTAATTCTACACGCTGGAGGTAGCCAGACAGCTGGGCCCGTATTCATGAAACTGTTCTCATGCTCAAGAATGGATTCTGTGCTCAAACCAGCTTTCTTGTTACTCACTTTAATCATGTAAAACAATCAAAAAGTCAAATGTAAACATTGAAAATAGTATTCGGCTTTTAGTCTCTGCAAACTGTTTTCAAATCATTGAAAAAATAAGATTGTTTTATTAATTTATAGCTGAAACACGAAATTAGGCTTGAGCACAAAAACCATGCTTTCGCTTTCATGAATACGGGCCCTGGTGCTTCTGATGATTCACTACAGTCACGTGTGTACTAAAACAACGCTGTCATGAGTACCAGTACACTACTAACCCTTTACGATGTAGGGTAATCTTCTATACGTAATTGTTAACTTATAAAATCTACAGAAACTGGGCTAATCTGTTAATGTATACATTCATTAAACCTTGTAATATCGTATTTTTCCTATTTTAGCGTAATGAAAATAATGAATAATATCAATTTCGACTTGTTTGTTTGCTTGTTGTATTTGGTTTTTGTTTTGTTTTGTTTGTTTGACAATTGCGACAATTTTTTTCAAAGATATTTCTCATTGTCATAAACGGTTGTGTGAGAAACACATTGTCAGAACATACATACTAAAACGTCTACGTACTTTTAATACGTCTACCCCGTGTTATACTGCAATATTACTGTTAATAGCTATAAGATAAGTGTGGTATATCCTGTCCGTACAGGACATTAATCTTACTGTAGAGGTCACATTGACCACACAAGTCGGCTGACCTTACAAATCACGTCTACTTACCTGCTAACGGAGAGCAATCTAATTAACAGGTGTTGGTACTTGGCGATCGCTAGTGATATAATGATAACCGTTACTACATGTACAACAGTAACGGTAACATCACACACAAGTCGTCGGATTGGACAAGAGTTTTGGGAATTATAACATTTCTATTGTTGGACGTAAATAACGCGTATTGTGTAAACGTTACAGATCAAAACATCGTGCGTGAACTTATAGCAGATAGGTCACGTACATACGTAAACAATCATTAGTAGTGTTCTGTGATGTCACAGACAACATCACGTCTTGGAACAATAAACAGGATATAATCAAACCCGAAGCAATGACCGGTTATATGTAGTTATTGATGTATTGTTGTGTATGTAAATTGTATAAACTGTCAAATTTATGGAATGAAGTAAATAAAGTTTCCTTGTTAGTTTGATGAAACCAATAAAAACTCTTTTCCAATCAGGATTCGTCTTCCATAAATATAAATCCACATGATATGTTTGGTTTTAGCATGCACATCCATAGGCATACTAGCATACCAGTAGCGACTGGAGCAAATGGAAAACCTGGTTTTGATAAAAAAAAATATATAAACCAGATTAATACGACTTATACAACTGTGTAATTGAACCTGTATTTCGGAAATATGTATGTCCCAGACATCAAAACAAACAGATGGAACTAAACTTATATATTTTATAGAGTACATTGATTAATTGATATCAATAACACTTGCTGGTTCGGCTGGAAGCTTACAGGGGTCTTAATATGGGAGGAAATCGGAATTCTTGGAGAAACATACCCACCCCTGACTTATTCAAACAAATGACGTATTTGTTTTTCAAAGATGCAAACGCTATCCATCTACAAGCATATGAAAAGCTGTACAGTTTTATTCCAGAAACCTGTAGTTAAGAGATTCACTGAATTCACATTGTTTTAGATGGGACGGTTTGTGAGGTGGCAATATACTGAAGCTGTGTAGAGATGCACGTACGTGGTTACCGACCAGACACTACAGCAATGTCTTTTCCTCGTAAATAAGTATATGTGTGGCGATAAGAAGACTCAGAGAGCTAATTCGTGTAGCAATTCATCTTCAAGCCTACAGTCACGCAAGGACACGAGATTTGACACGAGGTCCGACACGCAAACGTTGTGGGTTGCGCTTGTAAGGTGCAAACCATGCATGGTAAGCAATGGAATGAGGTTGGGGCATGCAAAGTAGATCGGGACTGGTGAGGTATTTAACTATCTGCGTAATCTATTAGGTGTATATATGAGGATGTGTGTTGTAATTTAAAACCTTTGTTAAAAGTGCAAGTTGGACAATTACATGTAAAACAATATCTCAATAGACTGGCTTCGTCTTCGGCTGAAATCTGGCACTGGGCTTGATAGTGCTGCTATGAGAAAATTGCGACACTTGTAAACGGAGAAATACGTAATTACGTAAATGTAGAAAATCAAATATTGTGTGTTGGAACAATGAGTGATTCAATTATGTATCAAAGTCGAGTTCGAATGTTAAGATTCCGGTGAAGAGGATTTGTATCCATTAAACACACAATCAGCGGTATTTTTGCGATTTTTAAGGACTGTAAGAATTGCGCAAACATTCATAAATAATACACAGTCAGAAATATTTCATGTTCTTAATCCATGTGTATAACTGCGCTCGTGACTACGTGACCAATTGCAGGTATATTTTTTCTCGATAAATGAAAGCATTCGTAACCATTAAGCAAACGAACATCCCTGTGTACCTTAAAATAAAAGCCAGCTATTTGTTATATAAATAAAATATTACAATAGATATTCGTTTAATGTCATTAGAACCTCCCACAATCTACGATAATCAATGGTTTGACAAATTTACAAAAAAAATGTTTTTAAACGGAACGAAAGCGAACAATATGTGTAGACTATCATCGTATGTGATCACACACTAATGTTGATGAGGATTTCTATTTTCAATCGGGCGTAAACCGTCTGTGAATTATACAATGAACTATTCATCAGTTTACATATAAAAAAAAAAATTGGTTGGAATGCTTTTGAGAAATACATCG